TTATTAGACTTCAACTTGTGAAATATTGATCATTTGTTGGTAGATGCGCGATCCGTTTTGTCTAACAAAACTTTGTTCGCAAAAGTTTGCTTGAATGTTGTTCGATTCAGTGCGAAAATAAATGGAAACACCTTAAAATGTCTCAAATCAATTCGATATACAAATTTGATCGCAAAACAGCATGTGACGTCATTACGTACAGGTTTTTATTCGCTTTAAAGCCGTTGGACGGAAAACACATTTCACCAGCTTTATCCGCATGAGTTTTTTAACCGAACTTCAGATAATTCGATTGACAAGTGGATGGAAAATGGCTTATGAAACTTGCAATGATTATTATGTTCTAGCATGTTATATGATTGGCACTGACAGACCAGTTTTCATTGAAATTCTTTGAGAGACTTTACAGAGTGCTGGACTTTTGCATTGTCAATTCAATATCTTGACCAAAAATGTGTGCACCTCTTGATGGAAAAACATCACAACATTTATTTCCAGCAAGTGCGGCGTCAATTTTTAGTGGAATATGGCCATGATGTGTCTTCCTTCATGGTTGCTTAAAGGTCCTCTGACATGAAATTTTCATTTTCTGAGGTTTTTTAACATTAATATGAGTTCCCCTAGACTGTAATTTGGTCCCCCTTTTAAATGACGAATATAGACTAATATATCTGCAGAAATAGACAGTCAGAACGCAGAACGCACATTATAGCTGACAGTCGGCTGCTTTCTCTTGTGAGTTCAAGTGCAGCTTTTTACCTCGACGAGAGCGGAGAGTGTAACTAGTTGTAACTGCATTACACTGCACAACGAAGCTCTTACTGTATGTACATCATCGTGTCCGCATTGGTGAAAGCAGAGAGAGCAGAAACTGCGTTATACAATAAGATCTTCATTCTCGCGATCGACAGACTGTCATCTGCTGCTCAATGCTCAATCACAGTAACATTTTATGTGATGAGAAATCTAAATACTTCAAAAAACTTCTCTCACGATTCAGTAATCTCGATATCTGTAATAGTAAAAAAACGTATAATAGCTGTAGTAAAAGTATTCAATAGAGTTTCACATGTAATATGTAGCTATTTCATATGCAAGCATGTCAGCCAATCACAGCAATGGGTGGTTACATTGAATCCCACAGCAGACACGCCCTTCAAACAGTGAGAGTGTCTAAGCAGAGGCTAAAATCAGGCTATGAAAAATGCCTTTTAATTCTAAATTATAACTATTTTTGATCTAAAAAAAGATAATAACATTTATAAGGGCAACCCAGGAAACATTATAAAATAATAAATAAAAAAAACCCATGTCAGGGGACCTTTAAGAAATGAAAAGCAATTAGGGTTGGAAGAACTGTTGCCAAACATATAACATGCTAGAAACTCAATAACCGCTACAAAAATGATCCAATCATTTACTTTTTGACAAATAAGCATTTGCCTATTTAAATCTAAACAGTGACATTTTTTTTGGCCAGGCAGTGTGTAACAAACATTAAAAAACAAAAACAAAATGAGATTTAGGTAGTATTATACGGCAGAATAGTAGTACGATCAGATGTGTGTGTCTGTGTGTGTGTGTGCGTGTGTGAAGGAGAGAGGGAACGGGAATCCGTGTCCAGTGGGATAAGCGACCAAGACCTTCGTTCATAAATCGCTGGAACCCCTGGTCCACTGACATACCCTTCGCCACCTTCACTAAACACCCCATGGCACATGCAGATGAAAAGGTGGCTTCCCTTTGCCAGGTAAATGCGTTTTTTTGTATGTGTGAAACAGGCGTTAGCAGAATTACTGGACTCGTGGCCTCGGGAGTCATTCTGGCTGAGTCGGACTTTTACGTTTCCGTTGGCTGCATGAACCTATCAATGTTGAGAAAGAAATCACATCACTAGTGAATGGCTAATGAATGCATAAAAGTGACCAGCCGGAAATAAAATAATGCAAATAGGTGGTAACAATTGCGCCATAAAACATTTGGGTCAGGTCTGCATGTGTTTGTCACATTATTTTAACACTTGACTGTTATAATGTTAGAGTAATGGTAATGTTAGAGTCCTCACAGCCTCGACGGCAAACTACTGTTCTTTCTCTGCTGATGCAGCATCTTGTCAACAAATGAATTGCTTTATAATGACAATGGCATAATAATGGCAATATGTACTTTAGTGTTATGTATTCTCACCGTTTCGCTGTCGGTGTTTTAAATGTGCATCTGAAGTGTCACCGCTCTCTGTGCTGCTGTTCTCTCCATGCTGCGCGCAGCCTCATGTGTTAAAGGGATAGTTCACTTTGAAATTAATTTTTGATTTGTTTTTGCTTACCTCAAGGGCATCCAAGATGTAGGTGTCTTTGTTTCTTTGTTAGGTGTCACAGTATTTTAAATTTTGACATTTTTCAGTCAAACTGTTGTTGTCTGTCAGTCATACACTGGAGGCTAAGGGGGTCCACCAAAAAGCATGCACTGAGAAGTCAAAATTAAACATGATTTAATGACTCGTAAATCTAAGTAAGTACACATTGATGGCCTAAGACACGAAACGAGCGTTTTTTGTGAGAAAACGAAGAGTATTTATATCGTTTTTACCTTGTGTAATCACAGTGACGTCCAAGTAATCTGAATCAGTTGTGCAATGTCCAACTGAACCGAACTGAATCAGTTCAATGTTACGCCGGAAGTGATCGCTTGTGTGTGACGTCACTCAATATTTACACGGAGATTTCGGAAGTTTTACCTTTTACTAAACATATTTAGATATACCAAAATCGTCTTCCATTGCGGTTTCCCGTATATCTAATATGTTTAGTGAAAGGTAAAACTTCCGAAATCTCTGAATAAACAAAGAGTGACGTAGGCGCGCAAGCGATCACTTCCGGCGCATGCGCAGACCGAAGCGTCCGTGCCGTCAGATCATTTTGTCATGGCTATGATTACAAGAGGTAAAAACGATATAAATGCTGTTCGTTTTCTCACACAAACCGCTCATTTCGTGTCTTAGGCCATCAATGTGTACTTGCATATACGAGTCATTAAATCATGTTTAATTTTGACTTCTCTGTGCATGCTTTTTGGTGGACCCCCTTAGCTTCCAGTGTATGACTGATAGACAACAACGGTTTGACTGAAAAATGTCAAAATTGAAAATACTGTGGAAACAAAGACACCTACATCTTGGATGCCCTTGAGGTAAGCTAAAACATAGCAAAAATTAATTTCAAAAAGTGAACTATCCCTTTAACGTAAACAACTCAGCCAGTGATAGTTTGTTAATACTGCCGGCAGTCTCTTCTTCACACTCTTGTACTGGTTATTGTCTGTCACACTTCTCAGCCGCTCCAGCAACCCAGAAAAACTACCCGGATAACAATAGTTCCACCAATCAACTATTGATGCCGATTTATCAGCAAAACCGATGAATCGGTCGACCTCTAATTGATACACTGATATCAGCTGCGTTTTCACTTTCTCTCCAATATCGAGCTGACACACACCTCAGTGTATCAATTAGAGGTCGACCGATTCATCGTTTTGTTGATAAATCGCATCAATAGTTTGATTGGTGGAACTATTGTTATCCGGGTAGTTTTCTGGTTGCTGGAGCGGCTGAGAATGTGACAGACCATAACCAGTACAAGAGTGTGAAGAAGAGACTGCCGCAGTATTAACAACTACACTGGCTGAGTTGTTTACGTTAAAGGGATAGTTCACTTTTTGAAATTAATTTTTGCTATGTTTTAGCTTACCTCAAGGGCATCCAAGATGTAGGTGTCTTTGTTTCCACAGTATTTTCAATTTTGACATTTTTCAGTCAAACCGTTGTTGTCTATCAGTCATACACTGGAAGCTAAGGGGGTCCACCAAAAAGCATGCACAGAGAAGTCAAAATTAAACATGATTTCACATTGATGGCCTAAGACACGAAATGAGCGGTTTGTGTGAGAAAACGAACAGCATTTATATCGTTTTTACCTCTTGTAATCATAGCCATGAAAAATGATCTGACGGCACGGACGCTTCGGTCTGCGCATGCGCCGGAAGTGATCGCTTGCGCGCCTACGTCACTCTTTGTTTTATTCAGAGATTCGGAAGTTTTACCTTTCACTAAACATATTAGATATACGGGAAACCGCAATGGAAGACGATTTTGGTATATCTAAATATGTTTAGTAAAAGGTAAAACTTCCGAAATCTCCGGTGTAAATATTGAGTGACGTCAACACAAGCGATCACTTCCGGCGTAACATTGAACTGATTCAGTTCGGTTCAGTTGGACATTGCACAACTGATTCAGATTACTTGGACGTCACTGTGATTACACAAGGTAAAAACGATATAAATACTCTTCGTTTTCTCACAAAAAACGCTCGTTTCGTGTCTTAGGCCATCAATGTGTACTTACTTAGATTTACGAGTCATTAAATCATGTTTAATTTTGACTTCTCAGTGCATGCTTTTTGGTGGACCCCCTTAGCCTCCAGTGTATGACTGACAGACAACAACAGTTTGACTGAAAAATGTCAAAATTTAAAATACTGTGACACCTAACAAAGAAACAAAGACACCTACATCTTGGATGCCCTTGAGGTAAGCAAAAACAAATCAAAAATTAATTTCAAAGTGAACTATCCCTTTAACACATGAGGCTGCGCGCAGCATGGAGAGAACAGCAGCACAGAGAGCGGTGACACTTCAGATGCACATTTAAACACCGACAGCGAAACGGTGAGAATACATAACACTAAAGTACATATTGCCATTATTATGCCATTGTCATTATAAAGCAATACATTTGTTGACAAGATGCTGCATCAGCAGAGAAAGAACAGTAGTTTGGTGTCGAGGCTGTGAGGACTCTAACATTACCATTACTCTAACATTATAACAGTCAACCTGACCCAAATGTTTTATGGCGCAATTGTTGCCATCTATTTGCATTATTTTATTTCCGGCTGGTCACTTTTATGCATTCATTAGCCGACGAAGTTGCATATTTAAAACTAGTGATGTGATTTCTTTCTCAACATTGATAGGTTCATGCAGCCAACGGAAACGTAAAAGTCCGACTCAGCCAGAATGACTCCCGAGGCCACGAGTCCAGTAATTCTGCTAACGCCTGTTTCACACATACAAAAAAACGCATTTACCTGGCAAAGGGAAGCCACCTTTTCATCTGCATGTGCCATGGGGTGTTTAGTGAAGGTGGCGAAGGGTATGTCAGTGGACCAGGGGTTCCAGCGATTTATGAACGAAGGTCTTGGTCGCTTATCCCACTGGACACGGATTCCCGTTCCCTCTCTCCTTCACACACGCACACACACACACAGACACACACATCTGATCGTACTACTATTCTGCCGTATAATACTACCTAAATCTCATTTTGTTTTTGTTTTTTAATGTTTGTTACACACTGCCTGGCCAAAAAAAATGTCACTGTTTAGATTTAAATAGGCAAATGCTTATTTGTCAAAAAGTAAATGATTGGATCATTTTTGTAGCGGTTATTGAGTTTCTAGCATGTTATATGTTTGGCAACAGTTCTTCCAACCCTAATTGCTTTTCATTTCTTAAAGGTCCCCTGACATGGGTTTTTTTTATTTATTATTTTATAATGTTTCCTGGGTTGCCCTTATAAATGTTATTATCTTTTTTTAGATCAAAAATAGTTATAATTTAGAATTAAAAGGCATTTTTCATAGCCTGATTTTAGCCTCTGCTTAGAACACTCTCACTGTTTGAAGGGGCGTGTCTGCTGTGGGATTCAATGTAACCACCCATTGCTGTGATTGGCTGACATGCTTGCATATGAAATAGCTACATATTACATGTGAAACTCTATTGAATACTTTTACTACAGCTATTATACGTTTTTACTATTACAGATATCGAGATTACTGAATCGTGAGAAGTTTTTTGAAGTATTTAGATTCTCATCACATAAAATGTTACTGTGATTGAGCATTGAGCAGCAGATGACAGTCTGTCGATCGCGAGAATGAAGATCTTATTGTATAACGCAGTTTCTGCTCTCTCTGCTTTCACCAATGCAGACACGATGATGTACAGTACATACAGTAAGAGCTTCGTTGTGCAGTGTAACGCAGTTACAACTCATTACACTCTCCGCTCTCGTCGAGGTAAAAAGCTGCACTTGAACTCACAAGAGAAAGCAGCCGACTGTCAGCTATAATGTGCGTTCTGCGTTCTGACTGTCTATTTCTGCAGATATATTAGTCTATATTCGTCATTTAAAAGGGGGGACCAAATACAGTCTAGGGGAACTCATATTAATGTTAAAAAACCTCAGAAAATGAAAATTTCATGTCAGAGGACCTTTAAGCAACCATGAAGGAAGACACATCATGGCCATATTCCACTAAAAATTGACGCCGCACTTGCTGGAAATAAATGTTGTGATGTTTTTCCATCAAGAGGTGCACACATTTTTGGTCAAGATATTGAATTGACAATGCAAAAGTCCAGCACTCTGTAAAGTCTCTCAAAGAATTTCAATGAAAACTGGTCTGTCAGTGCCAATCATATAACATGCTAGAAACATAATAATCATTGCAATGTTTCATAAGCCATGTTTCCATCCACTTGTCAATCGAATTATCTGAAGTTCGGTTAAAAAACTCATGCGGATAAAGCTGGTGAAAGTGTGTTTCCGTCCAACGGCTTTAAAGCGAATAAAAACCTGTACGTAATGACGTCACATGCTGTTTTGCGATCAAATTTGTATATCGAATTGATTTGAGACATTTTAAGGTGTTTCCATTTATTTTCGCACTGAATCGAACAACATTCAAGCAAACTTTTGCGAACAAAGTTTTGTTAGACAAAACGGATCGCGCATCTACCAACAAATGATCAATATTTCACAAGTTGAAGTCTAATAATGCTTATGTGCCAGATGATAGCGACATATGAATGGGATAATGTGTGCGAGGCGGTTGTTGAAGGGGTTGTATTCGCTATAACAACTGCCTCGCTATATATTATCCTGCTTATTACATATAAATCAACCAAATAAATAAATAACTTAAAAACGAGTTTATTGATTTAAAAACGAGTATTGCTTCTGCTAAAGAAAATAGTCTGTTCCGTCTCTGAACTGCGTCCATGGCAACGGTGTGTTATACTAGCAGCGCCGCAGTCTGTTAACAAGAAATAACAGACCACATTCTACATTAGAATTCAACCAAGCCACTTAAAAACAAGCAAAACTAACCTAAGAAAACAACGACGCTATAAACATTGCTATGATGATGCGATGCCGGTGCACGTATGGCCGACGACAGCGGAGGTGACTGTGGTGTGGGAACGACAGCACTCCATCAGTTCTGGGAGATCGTGGTTCACGGAAACCCTTTAAAAGCATCTTTTTGCTTTGTCCACTCGTCTTTGTTGACATCCGCCATGTGTGCGCAAACGCGGCCGGAAATGAACTCGTCTTCTGGCGTGTTGCAACCATAAAAGGGCCTAAAACTTAATCGCAATTCATTATTTATTCGGCAAATAACGTTTCCATCAGCTTTTATCGCATTAGCCGTATATCGATCTAGATAAAATCCGATGAGACCGAACGTATTTCATTTGAGTCGATTTCATGAGGCATTTTTCATTCGATATCACTTAATTCGGATAAAAACGTGTCGATGGAAACATGGCTATAGACTCTTAACCATTTGCCTATTTAAATCTAACTTTTTTTGTCTGGGCAGTATAGTATGTAACAATGTATGGGTAATTAATAAAATGTGGAGAAAACCCTCAGATATTTGTCTAGATGTTGAGCAGCTATAGTGGGCCAAAAATGCTTGAGAATGAAAGTGTCTTACTTGTTGAGTGATTTTGGAGGAAACTCAAACTCGCCGACAGAGATTGTGTCCACAGCGTTCAAGGAAATTCTGATGACCTGGTGACACTGGAGGTTTATGAAGTCATATTTGCACACCAACAAAGACCTAAGACAACAGAAGCAGCTCAATCAGGAATGGTTTCCAGCTACAAATCTATTAAACATAATTTTCAATGATGATGACATACTTACCTCTCTGTTATAAGAACCAATCTTTCCTTTTCATTATTCCAGTAATCAATTCTGTGGTAAAATATCAAAAAGGACATGGATCTGGTTGAATGGATATCTGTGAGTTTTCATCAAGAGGTAATTCTCATTCTGAAAGCCCAACACAACTGTCAAGCTCAAATTCTGCGGGATACCATATTGTAGTGGTACTATGAAACAATGATGTTATTAGATGGTAATATCACAGTATTTTGATGTATATTATAGTACTGGCAGATTATTACATTCATATTCTATTGTACTTACATAATACAGGGTTAATTACATTTACATTTTACACTGCATTTAACCCCGGGTTATTGTCGCTCTAAACCCTGCATATAACCCTGGGTAAAGAAACGTTGCACACTTGTAATTTAGAAGCGGGGTTTGCACCGCTTCTTACCCAAGGTTATGAAATATGTTTCCTGAGCAGGGTTAGCGCCGCTTTTGCTGTGTTGATATTATGCTTCAGTCAGTAGATGCCCTAAGAAAGAGCAGCAATAGACTCACTCTGCGAGCAGCCACACACTAAGAACCTCTCCGTCTTCTGAAGGCAAGGCAACTGTGCGGATATCATTGACTGCCTGCTCTATGGTTCCTGGCTGTGGCGAGAACAAACAGAGCAACTACTTTAGATGCTTGAAACAACATAAAATTAGCATGGATGTCAAAAAATATCAACACTCTTATAAGAAAGATACAACTCATACATTGTCTACCATGTAGTTAAAAGGGTTTTTCAACCTCTCTGATATATATTTATATTTAAATATATTTATAATATTTAAAACCCAAATTAAAATATTTTAGAGCTTTGCATTTCTAGGAAAATTTATTTAATAGGCCCTAACTATTCCAGGTTTCATAATCTCACCTTCTAAATTCATGTTTTCTAAGACAATAGAATCCCAGTTCCTAGTGAATCCTAGACTCGTTTAGGGTCCTGTCCAAGGATGATGAAGCGAAACAAAGGTAGTTCAAAATAACACTATAACAGTTCATTAAAGCCAAAAAACGGATAATAATCCAATGAGCAACGCAAAAGTGTGCATGACACATAATGTGCGAAACAGAACTTAAATACACAATGATAGTAAAGTCAATTTTCATCAAGGGGTAATCCTCATTCTAAAAGTCTACCAAAAATCAAATAGTAGCCTATGAAACTCTTTGCCTTTTTTTGGTTAAAAATAAAAAACAACTTTGAGAAAGCTAGTTACTTTTGTTGTTAGGTGGTTAAATTTAGTTTCATATTAAAGTTATAATGTCCCTGTATGTACAGCTTTTTTACTGCACTTCATTCCAGCTAAAAGAGACTGGGTCATTAATCGATGGTGGTGTCACAAAACATGCAGTTCTCCCTACGTACATCGCATTTTCGCGCAAAGGTGTATTATGGGCAGTATGGCCATATAGGACCCGTTCTTGTGTTCTTAGAAGATCAAATTAAAAACAATGTAACGTCTAAACTATGAATTTTGTGACTGCACTCCGGATAAACGCAATCAGCGTGCCTATGACGTACATCCATGCTGTCTAGTTAGGCAGCTTCCTAGGTTTTGACATACAACCCTGTCTGGTCAACACATTAACAAACAAATAATTTACACAGATTACAACCTAAGACGTTTTATATACTGGTTTACTTACTCACCCTAAAGACGAAGTAGTCTTTGACTTTAGCTCGCATGGTTGGGTTGTGAACATGGAAAGGCGTGAGGGTCTGAAGCGGGGTACAGCAGGCCACTGAAGCTCCAGCTCGGGCCACCACCTCCAGCCCATCATCACAGTCCCCCGGGTGTAAGACAGCCGCACCCGGGCTCTCTGGATCTACACTGTCGTTCAGCTGAAGCATTTCACTAAAGCGTCGAGCAGAGCATAAGCTGAAAGTATCTGAGAGAAGTGAGGAGATTCCGCTTAGTTCCAGCAGCGCTGTGTTGCGCAGGGGAACGCCCACCTACTCCACACGGATTTAAAGGGACCCGTTCCGTTTATGAGTTAGCCGGGGATATTCTACGCTTAACGTGGCTTACTGCACGAAGACAGTGATATTAAAAGACCAAACTCAGTAGTACACATCATATTAATAAACCATACTATGTATAAAAGATGA